AGAAAGAAAGAAAGAAAGAAAGAAAGAAAGAAAGGAAACAGAGACAGAGAGGGCAAAGAAGAAGAAAGATACTCACACTTGGCAAAAAAAGCATAGCTCTCCGCATTATTCAACGCCGTCTGAGTATCAATATTCATAATCTCCTGATACCCATAAACCTCATTCCCCAGAACCCCCTTTGTATGGCCCAACTCATGCAACGCCGACGTCCTCTGATCCAATACCGTACAATCATCCGATGACGCCGGCAAATCATAATACGCTGGACAGGTATTCACCTGGCCCCGAGTGCCATCCGTGCTCGCATACCCGGTCGTGCTAAAGGACCCCGTCTGACAGTTGATGTTACCAGGGGAGCAGGAATAAGTGACGACGCCGCCGCCCGGCTGAGATGCTTCTTCAGCGATCTTTTCCAGGGCACTGGCTACTTTGTCCATGGAGCTGGAGTCGGTGGTTTTGAAGAAGGTTTCGAAGAGTGAGCTGGCGCTGTTGGAACGTAGGCTGGAGGCCCCTGCTGCGGCCATTTTGCCGGCGCTTGTCACCGCGGCTGAGATGAGTTGCTGCTGGGAGTCGGTGCAGTCTGTGTATGTTGCGCGGGGTTTGAGGAGCCCTGCTCTGGTGGGGATAGTTAGGTATAACGGGAGGATGATGCTGAGGAGATGCATTGTTGAAATCTGGAATATGGTAGTTTGAGCGTGATGGTTGAGATACTTGGTCAAATGGTTAATTGGAGAGTCTACGTGTGGTTTATGGTCTTTATATATTCTTGAAGAGTCTGATGGTCTGATAATGTAGAGTTTGAGTCGATACAAGGGTCCCTTTTGAGACGCGCCGTTGTGTTTCATGTTCAACCTTTTACTCAATCAGACGAGGTTTGTTCCAGAACATTACTACGTTAGTAAAGGTATCTGTATTCTATGTGTCTCTTTTCAAAGCGACTGTCTCATCTATGTCTGGAATTAATTAATGTTGCATTAGGGCTTTTCTATCAGGAGTGATCGGTTGGAAGTGGAGGTATTGTAGAACAAATACCGAAGGGTGATCGGATGTATGTGCCTGGTTCACTCGTCACTCCTGGATTAAACCCTAAGTACTACTTAAGTCGCTTTCATACAATGGCAATGTGAACTTCAGGCCCCTATCTAAAGCGTATATCCCCCCAGTCTTGTTGAGAAGATCTTCCGTTCATAAACGGTTTCAATTTTATGCCGAGAACTGAAGATTTTCGAAGAAATTCAACATGAAACTACATTACATCGCCACCCTCGTAGTAAACTTACCGAGTCGAGATTTCTATAATAACAACATTAATCAGATTGGTGGAATAACATCTGATTGCATTCCTGATCCGATTGACATGGAGTGCCTTGGTTAGTTAGCAGATATAGCTCATTTTATATTACCTGAATACTGGCACTGGACCAGAACACCATATCGCACTAAGGTCGTGCCTTGGACATGCGATCCCTAACATATTATACCAATGAAACAGGCATGGTTTCCATCTGTTACTAGCCACAGAATAAGACATGTTTCCATCATTACTCCTAATTTTGGTATTCATGCATACTATCATACATTGTTCCCTCGCCCAGCAAGTTTTATTCTTCTGAGTGGACTACTGACCGTCCCAAGTCGTTGGCACCTTAGGATACTTACTCGCATCCAGTCCCAGATCTTTGTATACAGCATCATCCCCTAGCCAAACCTTAGCATATATTTCAACATATAGCCCAGGGAACTCTTACCTTTCAATGACTCCACTCTCTCCTCGTTCTCACCCTCCAACTTCTCCAGCTCTTCCCCAGGCTGGACCTCCTCAGACCGCTTGCCGTCAGACTCGGCAGTAGCAGCCTTTCCAAGGTCATCTGTAGCTTCACCAATCATAAGGAACTGGGCGTTTGGATAGTCGATGAACTCAGGTGTCAATGGCACCCAGCGGTAATCCTGAAACTTTTCGCGGACACTACCGAGCAAAGTCAGTCATGGGTCTAGGGACAACAGATGGAATTGAAAGAGTAGTGGCAAACCTTTCTGGGTACTCAGGATCCTTTGGGAGTTGCGCGAAGGAAGGGCCCGGATATTTCGGGTTCTTCGACTGCACGATCCAGCTGCCGCGCGCGTGAAGGCCGAAGTCTTCCTGGAGAGGGCCAACTTCCCCGGGGATGGTTAAAATGTACGCCAAGTGCGAAGCTCGCTTGGTGGATGTAATTGCATAGACGCCTTCGGCATATGGCTTGGCTTCGGGCACGGTGCGTTCGCCACGAGTCGAGGTTTCATATTTCTCACCGGCAATGAAGTTCTCTTGGAGTTCTTTCATCGTCTGTCCAGTCTTCTCGACGAAACCCATGTCTCTCTCCCTCCCGCTCGTTGGAAATTTCTTTTTAGGCAATAACATCAGCCGACACTTCGCGCCAGCTTCTAAAGACCCCTGCGTTTGATCCAGTGAGGCCCCTAGAGGAGTTGGACGTAGTACAATGAAACTTCGGGCAACATCGTCAACACTATTCGGTTCGGACACGTTAACTCGAGGTCGATAAAAGAAGTAAATTACGCCTTTTTCGAGTATATTCGAAGGAACGGCTTCTTCTCTTTCCTGTGACTTTTGAACCCCGGATTCAACCCCATCAGCAGCAGGCTTCTCTTGCTCTACGCGTCGTTAGTATTATCCCACTGAAAGTGTGTACACGAGTCATTACCGTCAGCAGGTTTTGCCTGTTCAGTCTTTGATTCCCGCGCTTCGTCTTTGTCATTCCGTTGTTCCTCCTTGCTCTCTTCTACTTGTTCTTCTTTCTGTTCTTCTTTTGCTCCCACTGCTTGCTCTTCTTCAGGCTCTTCCTTCTTTCTCTCTGCTGGTTCCTCCTCCTGCTGGCCCTTCTCTCCCTCTGCTGATCCCTCATCCTGCTGACCCTTCGCTTTCTCTGCTTGCTCCTCAATCGGCTGAACCTTCTCTCCCTCTGCTTCTTGTTCAATATGCTCCTCCTTCTTCTCCTTTACTTGCTCGCCTGCATCCTCCTTTCGCTCCTCCACCTTCTTGTCTTCATCCAGCGCAGGCTTCTGATCATCCTTTTTGCTCCTTTTCGGCTCGGGACCTTTATGCGCAGCTTCCTTGCGTTTTGCGCCCGCTCCGCCCTTGCCTTTAGTGTCTGGACCGGCTGATATGGCTTCCTTCGCCTTCTGAGCAGCTTGGCGTGTCGAAGTCCTAGTCGCGGCCATTGTGAGTGAAGTAATGATTCAATTTATGGGTGGAGGGTCCAATTGAATGATGGGATGTCAGGAATAAGAGATAATTGAAAGGTGACAAGCTGCGAGGCGGGTCTCGACCCGAGAGTGGTGACTTGTGGTCCCTCAGTGGGCAGTAGGCGATGAGGACCGTCTGACGTCATCTATGCCAGCAGCCTTTTCCGGACTAGTGCGACATCAGCAAGTCAATGGTCACGTGCTATCAACGATCGAGATTTGGAGAGCAAGTAGTGATGTCAACGATTCTCATCATGGTCTTTTTCTCAATCTAGATCCATCTGCTCCGATGCAGTAGTCTCTTGATTGGAATCGGTGCCATTCTCCCCGAGCGATGAAGACCTCGAGCAGAAACTCTCTGAGGATTCTAAATCACTGAGTCCGACGTCCGAAAGACCGCCTACCGGAGTTCCCAAAGCCTCGTTGGATTGCTTGGTTTTTCTGCGGAGCTTTCTCAACTTCAGATTGGGTCCCTCTTCGTATCGTCGATCTTGTGACATTAAAGGTCCCTGTTTTTGGAATATTTGAGAAACCCCAGTCGCATTGCTGGACGGTTTTCTTTTCTTGCCTCGGCTATATCTTGATATCGGCTTGGTGATACTATAGTCAGATTCACAATGTAGGTCCTCCATTGAGTCCACCAGCTCGGTTTGCCAATACTCGGAATTGGATCCTGGAAGAAATAGAATAGCAGGCGTGGAAGACACAGGGGGAGGGTCCTCCTCCGGCTCCTCAATAGCATATGGCTGTATCACAATAGGAGCGTTATGATCGAAGTTCTGAGTTAAAGGATCCTCTGCTGGTGCATTGCTTGTATTTTGACTTTTTTGGGATGGTGTAGATTCTTGTTTATTATCTGACATTGTGAAAGCTTGAAATGATCCAGAAGCAGTATCGTAGATCCCAGACACATATGCATATCACGCTAGCCCAAGTCCAGGATAAGAACGTATTGAATGAGGAATATTGCAGTCATGCCAAATAAAGAAAGAAAAAGTACAAGTACAGAGATCGGCTTCACGATCTTGGGTTGACGTATGCATTTCATTCGAGAATATTCTGCAAAAGTGACTAATTGGAACTGAGGGACGTTACTAGTACTGCCCTGAGTCGTACCTATGATGTGTGTTAGTGGAGAGGTGCCCACGGTTGTCCTTCAAGCGGGGAGTCCGGGGGGATAGCGAAGGATGGGGGGCCACATCTTCGAAAATGGAATGGGTGAGATGGGCGCTAGAAAAGTTAATATAAACATCTAGTGCATTTTCATAGAGCTCCAATGTGGAAATCGAGAGTTCTCATCGAATTGTCTCTAGTATGAAAGGGTGCAAGTTGTAGTTCCATGCGGGAAGGCAGTTGATGTTCCCCTGGCAGCTTCTCACCGCCGGGGCCCATCATTGGCCCAACGGGATTCGCTTATTGGCTCTTCCGGCAGGCGACACAATAAGTCCACGTTTACCGCCTCATCGCTCTTAGTTTAGTTGTCCAGACTGTCCCCGAGTCCAGACGCTCCCCGACCTTACCTGCGTGATCCTCTGCCATTCCGCCTGTTGCAGCAGTGGATGAGGTGGTCGCTTTTGTGATCTCTTTATATCAAGCGTGCGGAGCTTGCTTCTCTATGGTGCGGCTCCGGCCAACTCTCCTTCAAGATGCAGTCCTCCCCAAACATGCTCACTAAGGTATGTCCTCCCCTCCAAAGTCCTCCCCCCCGGCAATCTGGCTCTGGGGTTTCAAGGGCAACTATTAAGCATCATATCCCACACAGTTCGAGTCGAAGTCCTCTAGAGCGAAGGGAATCGCTTTCCATCCCAAGCGGTTAGTCCACGACTGAGTTCCCACGCGTCGCAATCAAGCACCGCTGACCCTGACGGAATCAGGCCATGGATCTTAGTATCGCTTCACTCGTCGACTATCCAACTATGGGATTATCGCATGGGAACCCTGATTGACCGTTTCGAAGAACACGATGGCCCCGTCCGAGGCATTGACTTCCATCCTACACAACCCCTCTTCGTGTCCGGAGGCGATGACTACAAGATCAAAGTTTGGAATTATCAAACGCGGAGATGCCTTTTCACACTCAATGGCCATCTTGATTATGTGCGCACAGTGTTCTTCCATCCCGAGCTCCCTTGGATTCTTTCCGCGTCGGACGATCAGACAATCCGGATATGGAACTGGCAAAACAGGTCACTGAGTAAGTTGGGATCTGGCCACCTATTCCGAACAAAACTGACTTGAAGTGTTCAGTCTGTACGATGACAGGCCATAACCACTATGTGATGTGCGCGCAATTTCACCCAACCGAGGACTTGATTGCCTCTGCCTCCCTAGACCAGTCTGTCCGTATCTGGGACATCTCGGGCCTGCGGAAGAAGCATTCCGCGCCAACAACCATGTCGTTCGAAGACCAGATGGCTCGAGCCAACCCCAGCCAGGCAGACATGTTTGGAAACACCGATGCAGTTGTGAAGTTTGTCCTGGAGGGCCACGACCGAGGTGTCAACTGGGTGTCCTTCCACCCCACTCTGCCCCTGATCGTCTCCGCGGGTGACGACCGCCTGATCAAGTTATGGAGGATGAGTGGTATGCTATAGCTAAGCGCGTTCCATGCGTAATCAAGGTCGCTAACATCTCACAATAGACACCAAAGCTTGGGAAGTCGATACTTGTCGCGGTCATTTCCAGAATGCCTCGGCCTGTCTGTTCCACCCTCACCAAGACCTGATACTCTCCGTCGGCGAAGATAAAACAATCAGAGCATGGGACTTGAACAAGAGAACCTCGGTGCAATCGTTTAAGCGTGATCTGGATCGCTTCTGGGTTATTGCTGCTCATCCCGAAATCAATCTCTTTGCGGCGGGTCACGACACCGGTGTTATGGTTTTCAAGTTGGAGCGCGAGAGGCCAGCTTCTACGGTTTACCAGAATCAGTTGTTCTATATTACCAAGGAGAAGCATGTCAAGTCGTACGACTTCGCCAAGAATGCCGAATCCCCGCCGATGCTCTCGCTGCGTAAGCTGGGTGCTCCCTGGGTGCCTCCACGAACGGTCTCGTACAACCCCGCTGAGCGTGCCATCCTGGTTACTTCGCCAACAGATGGTGGCGTGTACGAGCTGATTCACCTCCCAAGGGATGCTACCGGTGCCGTGGAACCGACCGATGTAAAACGTGGCCAGGCTTCCTCTGCTGTCTTTGTCGCGCGCAATCGATTCGCTGTTTTCAACCAAACGAACCAGCAAGTGGATATCAAGGACCTGAGCAACTCCACTACGAAGACTATCAAGCCTCCTCCAGGTACAACCGATATCTACTTTGGTGGTACCGGCTGTCTACTCTTTGTCACTCCCACCACCGTCGTTCTTTTCGACATCCAACAAAAGAAGCAGTTGGCTGAGTTGGCTGTCAGCGGCGTCAAATACGTTGTCTGGTCCAACGATGGTCTTTATGCAGCTTTGCTCAGCAAACATAATGTGACGATTGTCACCAAATCCCTTGAGCAAGTAAGTAGCTTGCACGAGACGATTCGTATCAAGAGCGCCGCCTGGGATGACGCTGGCGTCCTTCTCTACTCCACCTTGAACCACGTCAAGTACTCTCTCCTTAATGGGTAAGTTGGTTCCTCTTTCTGCTGAAGTACGCATGCTGATTTTGTAACAGTGACAATGGCATCATTCGCACCCTCGACCAGACTGTTTATCTCGTCAAGGTCAAGGGCCGGAACGTCTACTGCTTGGACCGCAGTGCCAAGCCTAGAATCCTGGAAATTGACCCTACTGAGTACCGGTTCAAGCTGGCGCTGGTCAAGAGAAACTATGATGAGATGCTCCAGATCATCAAGACCTCCAGCCTTGTCGGTCAAAGCATCATCTCATACCTGCAGAAGAAGGGCTATCCAGAGATTGCGCTGCAGTTCGTGCAGGACCCCCAGACTCGTTTTGAACTCGCCCTGGAGTGCGGTAACCTTGACGTTGCCGTCGAGATGGCAAGAGAGTTGGACCGCCCCAATCTCTGGAGCAGACTCGGCACGGAAGCTTTGGCTCATGGCAATCACCAGGTAGTGGAGATGGCCTACCAAAAGCAGCGGAATTTTGACAAGCTTTCCTTCCTCTACTTGGCCACCGGTGACCAGGAGAAGCTTGGCCGAATGGCCAAGATTGCTGAACATCGTGGCGACTTCACTTCCCGGTTCCAGAACGCCATCTACCGTGGCGATGTTGAGGACAGAATCCAGATGTTCAAGGAGGTCGATCTTTGTGAGTCTTGAAATTAGCATCTTCATTATAGTACCTCAACTGACAGCCTGTAGATCCTCTGGCATACATGACAGCAAAGACCCATGGGTTGACCGAAGAGGCGGAGTCTATCCTCGAGGCTTGTGGCCTCACGGAAGACCAGATCACTCTGGCCACTGGCGACGGGGCCCTCCAGGTTCCACAGCCCATCGTGCCAACTTTCAAGTCAAACTGGCCCGTCAAGGCTGCTGCCCATTCGTCGTTCGAGAAAGCCTTACTCGGAGAGGTTGGCGTGGATGATGAATCTGCAGCTATCGGCTTTGAGGCTGAAGAAGAAGAGGAAGAGGCTGAGACCGCTGGCGAGCACCTTGAAGATGAGGACGAGGACGTTGCTGGATGGGACATGGGAGACGAAATCAATGTTGAGGAAGACGTTGACTTCGTCAATGTGGAGAGCGCGGAGGCGGGTGCTGGCAGCACTGAGGCCGACCTCTGGGCTCGCAACTCCCCTCTTGCCGCTGACCACGTCGCCGCTGGCTCCTTCGACACCGCCATGCAGCTTCTCAACCGCCAGGTTGGCGCCGTAAACTTCGCGCCTCTCAAGCCACGTTTCTTGGAAGTATATAAGGCCTCCAAGACTTATCTCCCAGCGACTCCCAGCCTGCCACCCCTGGTTAACTACGTTCGCCGGACTGTTGAGGAGACTGACTCGCGCAAGGTCCTCCCTGTTATCGCAAAGGATCTCGAGACCATTGCCAATGTAGATCTCCAGGAAGGCTACGCGGCGATGAGGTCCAACAAGCTCGAGGACGGGGTGAGAATCTTCAAGGGTATCTTGCACTCTCTCCTCGTGAACACGGTGTCGTCAGAGGCCGAGGTTGAACAGGCGAAGAAGATCATCGAAACTGCTCGGGAATACATCCTTGCGATGTCGATCGAATTGGAACGCCGTTCCATTGGGACCGACACCCCAGAAAACCTCAAGAAAAGCCTCGAGCTTTCTGCTTACTTCACGATCCCTAAGCTGGAGGTTGCGCATCGCCAGCTGGCACTGATGGCAGCAATGAAGCTTGCCTTTGCCAACAAGAACTTCTCCTCAGCCCTCAGCTTTGCCAACCGGATGTTGGCGAACGGTGGTTCCCCTAAACTCCTTGATCAGGTAAGTCAGACGACAAATATTGTAATTTCACACGGGCGAGATGCTAACCAGTACACAGGCAAGGAAGATCAAGGCTCAGTGCGAGCGCAGCCCGCAGGATAAGATTGACATCGAGTTCGACCAGTTTGCCGAGTTCGATATCTGCGCTGCTTCCCATACACCTATCTATAGCGGCTCCCCAAGCGTGTCAGATCCTTTCACCGGCGCTAAGTATCATGAACAGTATAAGGGCACCGTGTGTCGGATATCCGACGTGACCGAGATCGGTGCGCCGGCTAGTGGATTACGGTTGTACGTTCCAGGCCAACATTGAAGATGAAGGAGTCGGAAAGATTCTCTGTCATGTAATTCTCTGTCTCCAATGTGAAACATATGAAGCGAATATTTTTTACGTGGGAGGAAGTTTAGTGATAGGGTGGCGCCCATGGCCGGAGGAAAAGCCGCTTACTAGATGTATGGATTTGCTGTTTACACTAATTTCCCAGCGACGTTGTTTTATATTACCTTTTACTTCTACTTTCGCAATGCAACTTCGAGATGTTCATGAAAAAAAAAAAAAAAAAAAAAAAAGACGAAGAGTGATTCATGTAAACATACACAGAGAGAAGAGAGTCGTCCCCATACCTGCAATATCGCAGTTGAGTAGAGAGATCATGCCAACAAGCTATCATACAAATCCGAACCCCCATCTATACTCTAACAAATTCTATAGTAAACCATGGATATACCATCCATACCACCAATCAAGCCAGCGAATCATAAATCAATCACACCTCCCATCCTTCCATCCAGTCCTCCACCTCTCCTCCCAAAACCGACAATCGAACTCCTTCTTCCCCAACTTCCGATTCACCTCATTATGCGCCTCACACATCCACGTCCCGAAATCCGCCCTCCCCCCTAGCCGCGGCTCATTACGCCCACTAGGCTCCGCCATCCAGTTCCGGAAATCATCCGCACACACCCAGCAGGGGTACAAGCGCGAGAAAATCTTCAGGAACGTCCGCATCTCGCCCTGTTGTTCCTGCGTCGCTTGCACGGGGTACGACGCCGTCAGGGAATGGAGGAATGTCCATGTTGAACGACCCAGGGCTTCTACGTCTGGGGGACAGTCATCTCGCGGTTGGGGTTGGGTAATAGTTGACTCGGAGGTTGGTTTTGTGGCCGTTGTTGTTGAGGTCGCGCCTTGGGCTTTGGCTTGTTTGGTTAGGTTGCGCCAGGATGCGGCGGAGGTGCAGAGACGGCATCTAGATTTTTTTTTTTTGGTTTGTTAGTTGTTGTTTGGGGGGGTTCTTTGGTTTTGAAAATAGAATAGGGTATCTGGAGGGTTAGGTAGATATAGAGGGGGGGGATTGTCGAAGACGTACGGTTTCCCATCTTTATCGAGAATGACCCCGTTAGGCAGTTTCGTCATTCCACTGGCATCTTTGGACTCCTCGGTTGATGAGCTTGCGGCTGCGGGGGTTCGGTGGGGAAATAGGTTCTTTGGTAGACTGGGTTGTGATTCTGAGGTTGACATTGTGGGATTTGTTTGCTCTTCACGAGAATGTCAACCGTCGGTTAATCGATTAGTATCTCTGATGCTGTTCGGAGGTGCTCGGTATACCGCGGAGGTTGTGCGCAGTGGTTGACGGGAAATGATCAGGTTCGTAGGGAAAGGGAGGTCCAATTTCTGGGGTATATGTACACAGAGATCAAAGATAAGTATCCTCCCACCGGGTTATATTGCAGAGATTTTCCCTTCTTCTGCTCCGTTCTTTTCCTTTCTGGTTGTTGTTCTACAAGAACCCAAAAGTAAGCATAAATTGAGTGCTTTGTCAGCCGTTTCTTCTCCCCGGGTTTCCACTGCCGGTGCCTGGCCTGGAATGTCCCGCCGTCCTTCGACGATCAAGCTAACTTATTTGGTTGATTGTGTACGAGTGTTTTACTTATACGGAGAATACTCGTTGGAGTCGATTCGTTGTTACGAGTTCCGATTTCTTGATTTATCGATATCGATAACCCTGTAGCTGCTGCTGCCGATAGTTCGGAATTGGCGTCGCGTCGCGAATTGCCCGCGTTCGACTCGAACGTCACGAATTAAAATCCATCCCGGCAGAGCTTAACAAGGGCAAGCGAGTGAAAGAGACAAGATGGCGCCTCGACGTCGTGTAGTATCGGATTCCGAGTCCGAGTCTGATGAACCTGTAGCTCCTTCGGTCCCTTCCGACGATGCGCTCGAAAAGGCCCTACGCGATACTGTCGCGAAGGTTTACAAATCGGGCAATATGGAGGAATTAACGGTTAAGCGGGTGCGCGTCGCTGCGGAGAAAGCCCTCGGGGTTGATGAGGGCTTTTTTAAAGGGAGCAGCACTTGGAAGTCAAAGAGTGATCAGATCATTAAGGATGAAGTGGTATGTGATGGGAACGTTTTGCTATGGGGTTGTGGTTGTACAATTGAGTTAGTCGTTTAGCTAACTGTTACGGGTCCATAGGAGGTACAAGATAAGCGGGCGCAAGAACCGGAATCGGATGAAGAGCCAGAGCCTGCTCCTCCCGCGAAGAAGGCTTCTTCTGCTAAAAGGACAAAACTCGACAACGTTGAGACATCGCGGAAGCGACGGAAAACGAGTACACCAGAACCGGAAGACGAGAGTGAAGCCAGTGCCTCGCTTGACGATGCGAGTGAGGAGGAAGTGAAAAAGCCCGCTAAAAAACAATCAAAACCTACCCTCGGGAAGAGTTCCAAACCGAAGCCTTCGAAAGAACAAGTGTCGGATGACTCGGAGGATATAGAGGACCAAAAGGATGATGTCCCACCATCGGAAGAGGTTGAGGAACCAAAGAATGACCGCGGAGAGGACTCGGAGAGTGAGATGTCAGTGGTTATCGACGAAGAGCCTAAGCCGACCCGAAAGCGACAGAAAAGCGCCGGCACCGAGGGATCAACACAGAAAGGAAAGAAGAAGACGACCACATCTAAAGGGAAGGACGCGGATCTTGACCCAGACCAAAAGAAGATAAAGGAGTTGCAAGATTTGCTGGTCAAATGCGGCATCAGGAAACTGTGGTGGCGACTGCTGGCTCCATATGAGACATCGAAAGAGAAGATCGGGCACCTTGAGGGAATGCTCAGGGAGGCAGGGATGACCGGGCCATTGAAGGGAAAGGAAGCAGAAAGGAAAGCCTTGAAAATCAGAGAAAGGCGCGAGCTTCAAGCCGACGTCGTCTCGTGTCAAGAGGAGGTAAAGCTATACGGTAAAGACGGTGCCGACGAAGAGAGCGACAACGGACGGCCAGGGCGGCGTTTAAACCGGGGCCGCAAACACCTTGCCTTCCTAGAAGATGACGGCGAGGAGACGGATTGATGGTGGTGGAGCATATTTAGCAGCTTCTGCCTGGAGCAGTTGACTGCCGTGTAATACTTTTCCGAGTTCTTGCTGTATTAATGCCTTCATGGAATAAAGAGTACCATCCACGATGATGATCATTGCGATTGTCCGTCATTTTCCGGTCTTGGTCCCTCCCATACGTTGCGCGACTAAGCTGAAGACCGCGACCGAGGAGATAAAGAGGACGAGGTTATAGAACTGCATGGATCGTAATTAGTATGCCGACTTTCCATGTCCGTTGGTGGAGTTATCGATCGCTCACAGCAGTCCTGGAGTATTCGTTCTCCTCGGCCTCCGTTCTGGCCTCGACGAATAACCGCCGTAGATTGGGAAGGTTTGCCTGATACGAGCGTTAACGAGCCTGAATTAGATCTGGACATATACCTAATTCAAAAATTCTTACCATGCGGTCGACGTGTACAATGCCAGGTGAGTGATCTTGTCTGGAGTAACTGCGAAATGGTCGTGGTAATTAAGCTCCGCGGCCTTAAATGCTAAAAAGGCAGAGCCGCGTTTTGTGGACAACTTTTGGGTCCAGACACATGATGAGACCCTTTCCTTAATTAAATTCCACTGACTTCCACCTCATCTTCTCCGCTCTCCCTCAACTGCGCCCATTCCCTCCCCCTTTTCCTTCATAACCTGGGCATTTAGGGATGACGCTTTGATTCTACCGTAATCTTCCCAGTTATTTGAAACGCCCTATCCCCGACCCACCGACGGTATATCCCTGAATATCTCGCCGCCGCCAAATTCCCCCGCAGTGGTCCGCAAGGACACTCTTGCATACCTAATTCCGACTTCGTCCCTCGCTGCGGAGCTCGATTTCATTCACGATGGCTATGAGCAGGATACGCGGCGCCTTTGCGGTGCCTAGAAAAGGAGAAACATTCGAATTGCGAGCTGGTCTTGTGTATGCACTCCGAACTTCTGCAATGACGCGTTCCTGCGAGTGTCACTAACCAGAGCTACAGATCTCAATATGCCTACGAACGGTAGGTCTCCGGTTGACTTATGATGATGTAGCACCTATACCGAGTTCCATGGAGACGTCTGACCCGATCATAGAAAGGAGGCTATCCAGAAAACTATCATGGCCATGACCTTAGGAAAAGATGTCTCCGCCCTTTTCCCCGATGTCCTGAAGAATATTGCGACGAGCGATCTCGAACAGAAGAAATTAGTATACCTGTATCTGATGTGGGTGGCCCATGATTGTTTCGATTGTCGCTCTACATGCTGATATTCGATGCGCGGCAATCAGGAATTACGCCAAATCTCACCCGGACCTCTGTATTCTCGCCGTGAATACCTTCGTTCAAGATTCCGAAGACCCTAATCCTCTGATCAGAGCGCTCGCAATCCGAACGATGGGATGTATTCGAGTGGACAAGATGGTCGACTACATGGAAGAGCCCCTCCGGAAGACTCTCAGGGATGAGTCGCCCTATGTCCGCAAGACAGCTGCGATCTGTGTAGCCAAGCTTTTCGATCTCAACCCGGGCATGTGTATGGAGAATGGCTTCCTGGAAATGCTTCAGGAGATGATTGGAGACCCCAACCCTATGGTGGTTGCGAACTCGGTGACAGCGCTCTCCGAGATCTACCACGCCGCGCCGGAAACCAACGCGCTCCAGGTCACAACCAATACACTACGCAAGCTATTGATGGCGTTGAACGAGTGCACAGAATGGGGTCGAGTTACGATTCTCACAACGCTGGCAGAGTACCGGACTACTGAGGTCACCGAAGCAGAACATATCTGTGAGCGCGTGGCCCCTCAATTTCAGCATGCGAATCCCAGTGTTGTGTTGGCCGCCGTCAAGGTCGTCTTTTTGCACATGAAGAATGTCAAGGAAGAACTCTCCAAGAACTATCTGAAAAAGATGGCTCCTCCCTTAGGTAATTTAGCCCTCTTGAACCCAACCATGGAGACGAGCTAATCATGATGGTTGATTTCTAGTGACTCTTGTCTCGTCCGCTCCCGAAGTACAATATGTAGCTCTGAGGAATATTGACCTGTTACTGCAAAAACAGCCTGATATTTTGAACAAAGAGCTTCGGGTGTTCTTTTGCAAGTACAACGACCCGCCCTATGTTAAGTTCCAGAAGCTTGAGATCATGGTTCGCATTGCCAACGACCGGAATGTCGACCAGCTTCTAGCCGAACTTAAGGAATACGCCCTGGAAGTGGACATGGACTTTGTGCGGCGCGCTGTCAAGGCTATTGGTCAGGTCGCCATCAAGATCGAGAGCGCCAGCGAGAAGTGCGTGAACACCTTGTTGGACTTGATCAACACGAAGGTCAACTACGTGGTGCAGGAGGCCATTGTGGTGATCAAGGACATCTTCCGGAAGTACCCTGGCTACGAAGGCATCATTCCGACTCTTTGCAAGTGCATTGATGAGCTCGATGAGCCTAACGCCCGAGCCGCGCTCATCTGGATCGTGGGAGAATATGCGGAGAAGATCAACAATGCTGGAGATATTCTCGCCGGATTCGTGGAAGGGTTCAATGAAGAGTTCTCGCAAACGCAGCTGCAGATCCTCACAGCTGTTGTTAAACTCTTCGTAAAGCGGCCTGAAAAGGCCCAGGGACTGGTGCAGAAGGTCCTGCAGGCCGCTACGGCGGAGAACGATAATCCTGACGTTCGTGACCGGGCCTATGTATACTGGCGGTTGCTGTCCAACACAAGCGACCCTGGTGCCACCAAGAACATTATGCTCTCTGAAAAGCCGCCGATCGTGACTACCATCCACTCTCTACCACCCGCCCTGCTCGAACAACTCATCACCGAACTTTCCACCCTCGCCTCTGTATACCACAAGCCACCAGAGCAATTCGTGGGCCAGGGCAGATTTGGTGCCGACGCCGTTCAGAGAGCCGCCATCGAGTATGTACCCCTGCTAGCTGGACTTTACTTTTGGCTCTCTTCGCTAATTATTCTTCTCTAGGGAACAAATCCAAAATGCACGTGAGAACCCATTGGCTGCGGCTGCAGCCGCGGCGGCAGTTACTGGCAAAGCTCCGCCGGCTCAGAGCCAGAACAACGTTGAAAATCTTCTGGACATCGATTTCGACGGGGGTGCACCAGCATCTGCTCAGAAGGAACCCAGCGGCGGCATGTCCGGTCTTGAAGGTCTTGCCGGCACACCGGTCCGGGTAGAGTCCCCCGCGGCTGGTGCTCCGGCGGGCAGCAATAATTTAGACGATCTCCTAGGCGTGTTTGGCGATGGTGGGGGTGCTGCTGCCCCGGCTCCAGCCCCCAATGGTGGCAATGCTAGCGCAGACCTCATGAATGGATTCGCCGGGCTGGATCTATCATCGAACACCACATCACCACCCCCGGGAGGAAGCCAGCCCAAGAAGACCAACGAGGACATCTTGTCACTGTTTTAGATCCAGCGTCGATGTATGGGTGGGATCCAATATGTATAGCCGAAGACAGGTCAGCGTGGAGGTGCTTTAAAAGATGACTTAATCCTTGCATTCGGTATAGATTTCCACGGTCTTCATTGTTTGATTTCGCCAGCAATATTCGCTGTAACCTTTTCATTTTTTTTTCTTTTCTTATTCTTCTTCACTTGTTATTACTTGTATATCCTGAGCATCCTTTTTCTTCAATCTTCTACGTCAACTTCTCATCAATGCTAGGAACGAAATCTAGACACATTATTCCCTCACCTATGGTGACCATTTACACTTTAACCCACAAGTAGCAAGATGGATGACAGACTTAGAGAGACAGATCCCGAGTCGGCCGACGGAGTCCAGTTAGACTCGGCTCCCCGTCCCCTCGGAAACATTTTTCGAATGCCGAAAACACAAGCAATCCCGGAATTAGTAAACACTTAGTAGTACCGTTGTCTCCAATTTTTTTGCTTCTTTTTCTTCCGTTTCTTCCCTCGTAGTGGAGCCGTTGGGGTTGGAGTCAGTGGAGGGTCTCCATTACATAGAATTGATTTGCTAGTATGGGAACATTTAGGTAATGTGTTTTTTATGGTCATGTACAATGCTAATGGCGTGATAAGAGTAATCTAATGTATGTATTTACTGTGATCTATCTTGAATACAATACAAGCTAAAGAGAATTCTTTGGATCTGATAATAAGGGTTTGAGTCTGCCGTCTCGGCGCATTAGTACCGATCATAGACGAGACCACCGAGAAATAGCCGTCATGATCCCAAAGAAAAAAAAAAAAAAAAAAAAAAAAAAACAAAAAAAAAAAAAAAAAAAAAAAGAATAGAAAACCATAAAACAAGACAAAAAAGGGAGGAATAAGGAGTATGCTGCAAGACAAATACCCTACCGATCTCCAATCAGTACATTGTACCTGACTCATACAACACCCTTCACTACGAATCAAAGTCGACTCTCATCCCGTCTACATCAGGTTTCACAGTCAATACGTACATACATACAAATCAGAAGTGGAGACCACAGCTTCAAGACCCGCTATATCCGTAGAAACCCATGGACTGTCCGGAGTAGATCCGTAGAGCCCGTCAAGGTCAGTATAAATGGACCTATGGGACTGGTTCCGGATCAGCTGGTCTTTTCTAAACATTAATCCCAGAAGAGCACTACCCAAGACAACATGGCACAGGCAAACTACAAGTTTGAAGGATGGATGGGTCTAGCACCTGAGTCGGCGGACGGAAAGATGGTTTGGCAGGAGTTTGAGCCAAAGGAATGGGAAGAGACCGATGTCGATATCAAAGTCACCCATTGTGGTGTTTGCGGATCGGACTTGCATACTCTTCGCAGCGGCTGGGTAGGTTAGATTTCTTTTTTTTTTCTATATGCTCACTGGGACATTATAAAGGATAGAGGAATCAAAATGGCTCACCCTTAGTGCAGGGTCCTACCAAATATCCCTGCTGCGTTGGCCATGAGATCGTCGGCATTGCCGTCCGTGTAGGCTCGAAAGCCGTCAGCGAGATCAAAGTCGGAGATCGTGTCGGCGTCGGTGCCCAGAGTGACTCGTGTCTGGGCCGTCTAGGTGATTGCCCCGAATGCGCCATGGGCTGGGAGCAATACTGCTCTCACAAGATCGTCGGCACCTACAACGGCATCCATCTCAACGGCGGCAAATCCTACGGTGGATACTCGCTGTACAACCGTACCCCGTCTAACTTTGTCATCAAGATCCCTGATTCCATTCCCTCGGCGGAGGCAGCTCCCATGCTCTGCGGTGGTGTCACCGTCTACAGCCCGTTGAAGCACAATGGCTGCGGGCCTGGTAAGCGCGTTGGAATCATCGGTGTCGGCGGATTAGGCCACTTCGGTGTTCTATTCGCGAAGGCCATGGGTGCAGACAAGGTCGTCGCTATCTCGCGCAAGGCTAGCAAAAGTGCCGATTCGCTTAAGATGGGTGCGGATACCTACATCGCCACTGACGATGAACCGGACTGGGCGACTAAATATGCTCGTTCCTTGGACCTTATTGTCTGCACGGTTTCTTCGTCGAAGGTAAGCGCTTTACTTCTTATCTCACAACGTTAGAGAGTTCTTTGGAATTCATTCACGAGGCTAAATGTCAAATCCAGATGCCCATGACGGAGTATTTGGGTCTTCTGGCTACCAACGGCAGTCTGGTTCAGGTCGGTCTTCCTGAGGATGGGACTCTTTTCGCGAACGTGCGTAACCTTATCCGTCGGGTTAAGGTTGAGAGCTCCTTTATCGGATCTCCCCGTGAGATTCGGGAGATGTTCGAGCTTGTGGCGGAGAAAGGTGTGAAGCCGTGGATTGAGGAGATTCCTATGAAGGATGCCAATACCGCTATCGTGGATATGCACGCGGGTAAGGCGCGCTACCGTTATGTGCTCGTTAACGAGCAGCAGTAGTAATGTGTCTCAAAGGGGGGAATTAGCTTCGATTTGTATATGGGTTGATAGACTTGGAGTATATGGTTTAGACGGATACCAATGAGATATGTGATAGACGAGTCGCTCGCTATTGGCGATGCACGACGGAAGCTGACGCCGTGCGGAGCATTAGTTTTAAAGTCGAATGCCTTCATTGATTCTGTGGTACATATAGAAGCAGTTATTATTCCCACTAATAGACTTCCCTTGCTCATAGATGTAGCCAGAGTATAAAGACACAAAATTATTATATATTACTAATACGGTAGTATCTGACAAATAAGAAACTCTTGCACCATCCAACTTGGAACTTTTCTGTTTTTCTCGTAAGCAGCAGAGGTTGGGGGGATCAAATGTCAGACGATAATCAACGATCAAGCAAATCAAACAGCGATATTATAACTTATCGAACCGTTGCTCTTTTGGTATCTTAGATGGCCGATCAGCTACCCTATCCTGGGCGGATAGGTTTAAAGCAGGATCATCACACCCATGACTGCGGCCAAGAGACCGATAGTAGGCTTGACGGCCCGAGCAGCACCAGTGAGAGGTGGCTGAGCTGGGGAAACGCCAGTAGGCGCCACCGGGGTCTCGCCAGGGGTGGTAGGCTG